TTCAGCAGAGCATTGGAAGGCTGAAGAAACAGGGCACTGTGGGCGCCGCCGGCCACAGTCTCCTTCGACAGACGCTGACCACCGTCTCGGTGGCGCGAACTACAGTTGACCGCCTGAAGGATCATCCCTTCATAGTGCAGGCAGTGCCGCGTCCTGTATCTGCTGGAGGTGCTGCTGCAGCGGTGCAACATCCACAACCACCACCACCAACTCCACCAAATCACCCCAACAACAACACCCACTAAACAATCATCAGTGCTACCACACCACCACCATCACCCACTGAGTCAGTGTAGCAATAATTTTTACTGGCAATAAAATCATCATCTATTTCTTGTTTGACTTTGCCGAAGAGGAGGTCGTCTTGCCAAGAGATTTTGTCGTTTTCTTGTTTGACTTCGAAGAGGCGGCCGACGACGACGACGACTTGGATTTGGTGGTCGATTTGAGCGCCGCAGATTTAGAGGAGCGTTTGCTTGCCACAATCGACTTGACCACCTGAGTCGGTGCTGAGCGTTTCGATTTTGAAGTGCTGCTCTTGGCTTTGCTGCTTTTGTTTCGAGAGCTGCCGCTGCCGCTGTTGATGGACTTTTTCTTACCGCTCTTTGCCCCTTTGCTGCTGCTGCTCTTGATCTTTCCGCTGATCTTGCTTTTTTCGATGCTTTTCAGCTTCTTGCTTGACACCTCCTGAGCCGGCTTTGGCAGCAGTGGTGACTGCTTTGGCTGCTGCTGCTGTTTAGGTTGTGCCTGTTGTTGAGGCTGTTGCTGCTGTTGTGACTGCTGCTTTTGCTGAGGTTGCTGGGGTTGAGGCTGCGGCTGAGGCTGTTGAGCCCGTCGAACTGCCGTCTTGTACTCGGCGGCAAGCCACTGCTGCCCTGCCAGTGCCTCGACGCGAATCCGAGCCGCCGGATCGGGCTGCAGCATTGCCCAGAGGAGGGCATGCAAAGGAGGCGACGGCTTGACCGTCGGCGGCCACCGCCAGGCACGCGAGCACTGGGCTCGGAGCTGTGCTTGAGTGTCCTCCTGGTGAAACAATAAAGGGGTGATAAACAAAATCTAAATCAGAATTTGAGAGTTTCAAACCTGAGGAAAGGGAAATGCCGGGTAGCAGACCATGCCGTAGAGGGTAATGCCGGCCATCCAGACGTCCACGAGGAAAGGATTGTAGCCACTGGTGGCCAGCACCTTCTCGTCCAACAGCTCCGGCGGAGTGTACTGACCAGCAGCGCCGGCACAGGCCGTGTGACAGAGACCCTGCTGCTGACCTTGCCCTTGCTCCGTCTTCAGACTGGCACCTGTTGTCACCGTTCGACTGGCGCCAAAGTTGGTCAGCATCACCAGCGTGGAACTCCAGCCAGTCAGCTTAGGGTTATCGTCCTTGGGTGGCAGTGAGAGCAGCAGCACTGCCTCCAGCTTGACGTCTCGGTGGGCGATGCGCCCCTTCAAGTGCAGGTACTCCAGAGCGACGGTCAGCTGACTGAAGATGGTGGCCGCCGCGGGCTCGGTGAGCGGTCCACAGCGGTGGACGTACTGGGCGAGGCTGCCCTCCGGCGCCAGCTTCAGAAAGACGTACAGCGTATTGCTGGCGTTGTTCTGGTTCACCACAAAGTGGTTGTACAGCTTGATGATGTACGGCGGTGGTGACGGCTGCTCGGAGAGTATCTTCAGCATGTGCAGCTCGTTCTTGATGTACGCCAGGGCGGTGGTCGATTCGCAGCGGGACATCTCTCGGGAGGTGAGCACTGGTCGAGCTGAAGTTGGCAGGGAAAAAGGATTAGAGAGTTTGAAAAGGCATCAATCAGCGCAATAGGTAGCACTCACTTTTTGCCAAGTCAATTTGCTTGCAGGCGACCAGAATGCCCGTTTTGGTGTACCTGGCGCGGAACAACTGACTGTACTCGCCCTGGGCAAACTTCTCTCCCTCAATCTGGTAGCCGTGGTGAGCGAACAACTCTTCGACGCTCTTGAAACGCGATCCGGGCACTCGGTAGAAGCGCAAAATCTTGTTAGTGTCTGCTTGGTCGGGCACTCCGCCCTTAAAGTTCATCTGGAGTTCAAGTTGACAGGTCGAGGGAGATGTCGGAGAAGAGGCAGGTGTGCTGGACGTCTGAGGAGAAGGGGAAGGCAAAGAAGAGCCATCGTTTGCAGGTGCTGCCAAAAATACACTATCGAGAAGTTGTTGTTGTGGTGGTGGTGGTTGTGAAGTGCCATCAACAGTGCCTTGAGGCAATGTTGATCGGGGAAGAGCAGACGACGCCTGCAAACTCCGATCCGATGCATCAGCATTGTTGGCATTTGATTGAGGCGCCCGAGACACCATGTACGGCGGAGGATCCACCAGCAGCAACAAGGGGAAAGAAGTTCGAGCCAGAATGAAAAAGTGAAAGAACAGAAAACAGACAACTTTGTCAAAAAGATGAAAGAAAACGATGAAACTCTGAATGATAAGTGGTTATGTAGCAGAAGAAGGTAAACACATGAAATTAGAACTAGTAGCGGCCGCCAGTGGCGGGTCTTTGCTCACTTCAAAGTTCGAAATCTTTGTAAATGTTTTATAATTATTAGCAGCTTTCCTCTACCTATGTGTTTGTTACTGGTCAAGTTTGGCAAAAAACGTAACTTTTGGATTTTATTGCAAAAAATGCTTAAAAACAATATGTTAAGACAACATCCAAATTAAACTGGAATTTAATTAGAAAACATTTTGAACATGTCAAAGTTGATGGTTAACGGATACAAGTGTGTTTAACAAATTAGATGCGTTTGTAATGCCTCCGCACTAGTTTAAATAAACAAAGTATAATTACTACATTGTAAACATGATATAAATTGATATAAGACCTTGTTTGTTTAAAGTTTTTATTTTTTTGCTGCTAAAACTGCAACGATCTTGTAATGTCAAAACGAAATTTTTAGTTTACAAGAAAAGTATTATTGTTTAAAACAAACGTATAATTTTTGTTTTATTATCATCATCAGTTTTATACAATCGGCTAAATTTCAAACATAAGTCAGTTATTTGTTCTGACAAAGACCTATCATTGCAAGTCGGCAGGAAAACGTTCACAAAGAAGTCACTCAAAACGACATTTTCATTGATGATAAGCTTGATATCAGAAGAGTGAACAAAACACTTTGTATCAAACTTTTCTTTCATTGACAAAATAGTTTCTATATAAGCATTGAATTGTAGACAAATGATTTCAAAGTTTTTCAAACAAAAACTCAAACGTTTTACACATTAATTTTTATGTTTGGAAAAAAACTTAACTTTAAAGTATGGCTACTAAACAACTGACCATTTTTATCCATTCGATGGACGGCACAGGTATTTGTTTAGGAATTTGCAATTAACTGAAATTAAATGATAAACTTGCTCAGGCCACATCAATGCGGCAATCGGACTTGGGCAAACGGCTTTGAAACGAGGCCACAAGGTTTACTATCTGCTAAATGAAGCTTTCAAAGGTTAGTAGTTAAAAAGTTAAACTATTTTTAACAATATCAATTTTAAATTAGGACAAGCATCTCTATTTGGATTGGCGGAAATCCTTCTGGTTGATAAGCCGAAACCCAAACCGGAAACTGATGTTTCATCTAAAACTGAAGATGCGGCTGCTGCGGAGAATCCAATCAAAATGCTCTCTCAGCAACTGCTCTCCACAGGATTGCTTTCAGGCGCAAACTCATTGGAAAAACTTAAGTTAATGGAAAAGGCGGACTTTTTTGAAGACATGCTTCAGCGAGCAATTGTGTTTGAGCCGCAAATTGAAAAAGCACTGAATGAAAAGAAACCAGATCTAATTATACTGGACCACTTTTACATTAGTCCTGCCATTCAACGATCAGGCATTCCCTTTANCACTGAATGAAAAGAAACCAGATCTAATTATACTGGATCACTTTTACATTAGCCCTGCCATTCAACGATCAAGCATTCCCTTCGTTTTAATCTTTAGCGGAAATCCGATCATGTGCATGAACAGCACCAAATTGCCGCCGCCATGTTCAGGTATTTATTTTCTTTGTTATTTCAAAAATGCAAGCTTTTAACCGAATCATTTTCATACAATTAAAGGCTACCCTACAACAAGCGACCCTGCCACGTGGGCAGAGTACATTGAAATCTACCAGAGAACCTTTCCTGACATGATGAAAAGCTTTCAAAACCGTTTCAACAAAGAGTTCAACTACGAGCCAGTTGATCAATTGGATTCAGTAAAGCCTGGTTTTCCCCAGTCAAAGTACCTTAATCTGTACGCATATCCGCGAGAANTAAAACTTTGAGTATTTCATATAATGTCAATAAATCGTTTTACTTGTTTCAGGTTTTTCTACTTCATCCGACCCAGCCACTTGGACTGAATTTAGCGAGGTATATCAAAAGACATTTCCTCCAATGCTCAAGATTATGCAAGAACGATTGAACAAAGAATTCAACTATAAGCCTGAATCTTCTTCTACGCTTGGAAAAATGGCGTTTCCTCACTCAAAGTACCTTAATCTGTACGCATATCCTCGGGAGCTGGATTACCAGGACATTGTTCCTCTACCAGCCAACTACTGCCAGATTGATGCTTTCTGCCGAGTGATGCCTGAGCCGTTTAAAATTCCGGAAGAGCTCAATGTGAAACCAGGCGACAAGGTGATTTATGTTTCAATGGGCTCAATGGGATCAATTGACATTGAGCTAAACAAGAAGTTTGCTTCCATTCTCGCGAAGACTCCGCATAAAGTCATCTTTTCTAAAGGTCCACTGGCTGATGAGTATGAACTGCCGGCAAATGCCTGGGGAGAAGCATATGTCCCTCAAACTGCTCTGTTGCCTCATGTTGATTTAGTTATCACTCATGGCGGAAAGTATGTTTTTTAGAAGAATAATTTCAAAACTTAAAAGTTTAAATGTTTTTACCACAAACAGCAACAGCGTCACTGAAACGTTCAGCTTTGGAAAACCGATGATTGTGCATCCACTTTTTGGTATTTACGCATTTTTTTGGGTTTTGTTTGATCTAATTTTGTTACTTTAACAGCTGACCAGTGGGACAATGCACAGCGAATTGAAGAGTGCGGATTTGGTGTACGACTGCGACCATATGATTTCACCGAGGAAGAGCTACTGAGCGCAGTCGACCGACTGCTTAACGATAAGAAACTGAATGAGCGACTGAAAGAGGCTGCAAAACGAATTGAAACCTCAAATTCAAAAGAGAAAGCTATTGAGAGAATGGAAAAACTGGTTGAGCTGCACAAAGTTGTGCAGTAGTTACTCTGATTTATAAAGTTACACTCAAAAATAGCTAACTGTTCAATAAAATGAATAAAAATCATCATTTGATTTAAACTTTACTGTTTGAATATCGTTTTGCACTGCCAGTGCTAATATGTGACATGATAAGTGGCACCGCTTTGAACAAACCGCTTTAGCTTGCTATCAGAAAGTGTTTTTTTATCAATTTGGTTAAAAGTTAGACGTTTGTCAGTAATTTGCACCGACAACTATCTTGCGCAACGTGTCGACTTTGAAACGTTTTTACAAAAACTCATGTCAAGCGAGTTATAAAAAGCAGTTTATTTAGTCAACATTTTTACTAACAGTCCATTGGAAAAAACTACAATTAACTAAAAAGTTTGCAAAAATGTCTGTAAAGCCACTGAAAATCTTTTTGCATGCAATTGACGGGACAGGTAAGTGTAATGATATTTAAGAAACTTTCTTAATATTGTTGTTGATTAGGTCACATAAATGCTGCCATTGGACTGGGTCAAGCGGCGTTAAAGAGAGGCCACAAAGTTTACTACCTTCTAAATGAAGCTTTTAAAGGTAAGATTTTATTAAACTCAAAAGATAAAAACTAAAAATATTCTTTTTTAGGACAAGCATCTCTCTTTGGCATAGAGGAGATTCTGCTGGTTGACAAACCTAAACCAAAGCCACAGTCAACTGACACCTCAAAAGGTGAAACTGCGCCTGAGGAAAATCCAATCAAAGAAGTTGCAAAAGAAATGCTTTCCAATGGACTGCTCTCTGGGGCAAACGCTAAAGATAAATTGAAGTTTTTGCACAACGCTGGCTTCATGGAAGACCTCTATGACCGAATGGTGGCGTTTGAGCCACAAATTGAGAAAGCACTCGCTGAACATAAACCTGATCTGATTATACTAGACCACCAAATGGTGTCGCCGAGCATTCAACGATCAGGAATACCATTTGTCGTCATCTTCAGTGCTGGTCCTCTTTTGATCTTTGACAACGAAAAACTGCCGCCACCTTGTTCCGGTTTTGCCACCACCAGCGATCCTGCCACATGGACTGAGTTTAGAGAGGTGCTTGAAACAACGTTTAAAAACAAGTTTAAATCATTTCAAGAACGAATAAACAAGGAGTTCAACTACGAGCCAGCGTATTCTTTGACACCAGGAAAGAGTGCTTTTCCTCAGTCAAAGTTTCTCAACATTTACGGCTATCCACTGGAGTTGGACTACCAGGACATTGTTCCGCTGCCTTCAAACTACTTTCAAATTGACGTCTTCTGCCGAGTGATGCCCCAGCCATTCACCATTCCTAAAAAGCTGAACTTGAAACCAGGAGACAAGTTGATCTACGTGTCAATGGGTAAATGAGAAATAGAATCATCATTTGTTAGTGTTTCAAAGGTTAAAGCTTTTCAAACTGACTCTAGGTTCAATGGGCTCAATTGATATAAAGTTAAACCTCAAGTTTGCCTCTATTCTTGCCAAAACTCCGCACAAAGTCATCTTTTCAAAAGGTGCCCTTGCTTCGGAGTACGAACTGCCGCCAAACGCGTGGGGAGAGGCCTACGTTCCGCAGACTGCCGTACTGCCCATTGTCGACCTGGTGATCACACACGGAGGAAAGTAAGTTTACTGAAATGTTTAAAAAGTTTAATTTTTTTTACTAAATTTTGTTTTTCATAAAACATCAGCAACACCGTCACAGAGGCGTTCTGCTTTGGAAAGCCAATGATAATTCATCCACTTTTTGGTATTATTTTGCTTTTCCATTTACCAAAACCTAATTTAAATTTTTCAATAGCTGATCAGTTTGACAATGCCCAGCGAGTGGAAGAAAAAGGTTTTGGCATTCGATTGAAGCCTTACGACTTTACGGAAGAGGAGCTGTTGAGTGCAGTTGATCGACTGCTCAATGACGCCCAGCTTAATGAACGATTAAAGGCGGCGGCAAAGAGAATAGAGACGTCCAATTCAAAGGACAAAGCAATTGAGCGAATGGAAGAGCTCATTGAGCAGCGCAACAGTGCAAAAGTGTGACATTTTACCAAACACAACTGTTGATGTTTTCTAACGATGTCTGAATACTATTGTAATAAAACCGTACTTTAGTTTCAAAGTCTTACTGTTATCATTTAGCACATTTAATAAATGATTTCCTTTTTATTTAATTTTCGTATTCCAAATCACTTCAAAGTCGGTAAAAGTTACACGCAATTACAATTTTTATCAATGGCAGTACCATTTTATCATCAATTTAGTTAAAAAAATGACATTTATTATTGGTTTGAACTGAGGCAAACTGACAATGGTAAGCTTTCATATTTAGTTAAAATATTAATGATAAATCGATGATCAACCTTGGCAATGATTGTATAATGTTGTTATATAAACTCCAGAATGTAAGCATTTTTAGTAGGCAACACTGACAGAAGCAAACGCAAAAATGGCAACAAAACAACTGAAAATTTATATACACGCGCTTGACGGAACAGGTAACTTTTATCGTTGTTTGACCAATCTAAACGTTTTGTTTATTGTTCAGGTCACATCAATGCTGCAGTTGGCCTTGGTCAAGCAGCAATGAAGAGAGGCCACAAAGTTAGCTATCTGCTAAATGAAGCCTTTAAAGGTAAAGTTTTGTTATTACTTGACTAGTACTAATTTTCTGCATTTGTTTAGGACAAGTTTCTCTGTTTGGCATTGAGGAAATTCTTTTGGTTGATAAGCCAAAACCTAAACCACAAACAAATGAATCTTCAAAAGTTGAAAATGAGCCATTGGAAAATCCAATCAAAAAAGCTGCTCAAGAAATGCTTGAAAATGGAATGTTTAGTGGGGCCAGTTCTTTAGACAAACTAAAGTTTATGACAAATTCTGCAATTTTGGAGGATATGTATCAGCGAGCTGTTCAATTTGATCCTCAAATTGAAAAAGCTCTCAAAAAAGGAAAACCAGATTTAATTATTTTAGATCACTTTATATTGCCCGTGTCAATTCAGCGATCCGGCATTCCTTTTGTGGTTATTTTCAGTGGAAATCCGTTGATGATCTTCAACAATGATAAACTCCCGCCACCATGCTCAGGTATTTAAAACTTTGAGTATTTCATATAATGTCAATAAATCGTTTTACTTGTTTCAGGTTTTTCTACTTCATCCGACCCAGCCACTTGGACTGAATTTAGCGAGGTATATCAAAAGACATTTCCTCCAATGCTCAAGATTATGCAAGAACGATTGAACAAAGAATTCAACTATAAGCCTGAATCTTCTTCTACGCTTGGAAAAATGGCGTTTCCTCACTCAAAGTACCTTAATCTGTACGCATATCCTCGGGAGCTGGATTACCAGGACATTGTTCCTCTACCAGCTAACTACTGCCAGATTGATGCTTTCTGCCGAGTGATGCCTGAACCGTTTAAAATTCCTGAAAAACTCAATGTAAAGCCAGGAGATAAACTGATCTATGTTTCAATGGGTAAAATTATTTAGATGTTTTAGTTTTAGATTTTTAACTTTGCTAATTGTTTCAGGCTCAATGGGTTCGATTGACGTTGAGCTGAACAAAAAGTTTGCTTCCATTCTCGCCAAGACTCCACATAAGGTTTTATTTTCCAAGGGTCCACTGGCTGATGAGTACGAGTTGCCGGAAAACGCTTGGGGAGAGGCATACGTCTCTCAAACTGCCCTGTTGCCTTATGTTGATTTGGTCATCACTCATGGCGGAAAGTAAGTTAATAAGAATAACTTTAAATTTTTTCCTAAAACTAAAAACTACAATTTTTTCCCGTTACAGTAACACTGTCACTGAAACGTTCAGTTTTGGAAAACCAATGATTGTTCACCCATTTGGCGGTATGTTTGTACAAACTGTACAATGCTTGTTTCTATTTGACTGACTCTGCTTAATCTTAGGTGACCAGTATGACAATGCACAGCGAATTGATGAGAAGGGTTTTGGAATCCAACTAAAACCGTATAATTTCACTGAAGAGGAACTACTAAGCGCCGTCGATCGACTGCTCAATGACACTCAACTAAATGAACGACTAAAAAAGGCGGCCAAACGAATTGAAGAATCTAACGCAAAGGACAAAGCTATTGAGCGAATGGAAAAACTCGTTGAGCAGCACAAAAGTAGTCCACTGTAATTTTGTGTTGGATATGGTTATTAAAATAAATTAGTAAAGTGACTGATATTTGTTTCAAAAAACTGTTTTTTTATCAATGTGTGTCACTTACTTTTTTGTTTTCAGTCATTTTTCAATAATTCTCAACACACTTTTAATAGCACACTCTCATTTATCACCATAGATTTTGCCTTTGACATTGATCTGTGCGATGCAGCACACTGAACTGCAGTGAACTCTCACTGAGGTGCTCACTTTGGTGCAGTGAACGACAGTGCGTCTACCTTCCTTATCGAGCGATGACCTCAATCGATGCACACTGCTGCTGCTGCTAAAGCCGCATTGACATTGTCTGCACCGACTGGCCTGACACCGTCAAACGTCCGGTGGTGACTGACTAACGGCAGTAAAGGTGTTCACCAAAGAGGAAGGGAAGACAAATCTGCTAAATCTAGAAAGTCTGATCGATAAGACTTTCAGTTGTTGATAAGCCCACTAACATTTTGGCGGTATTTAAACGAGTTCTGTGTGAGGCAATTTTAACTGTTTTTTTATTTTGCTGCTTTATCATCTGCTAACTTTATCATTCACTAATGGATAGCATCTACCTCGACAGCGCTTTTCATCAGTCCAAAAAGCAGTTGCGCATCTTCTTTCATCCTCTTGATGCGACTGGTCACCAGCAGGCTAGTCTAGGACTGGCGCGTCTCTTATCAGCTCGTGGTCATAAGATTTACTTCCTGACAAATGAATTTTTCAGGGGCAAATTTGCCAAGTTTGGTTTTGAGGAGATTCTTCTGTCTCATCGTCGGCAGACAGCAGCATCAGCTGCCGTCCAATCACTTGACCCTGTTCTTGGATACGCACAACAGCTGCTCATT